CGAATTTGGACTAGCCAGTGATGGGGGGACTGCTTGGAGATTGTATAGGCTCCTTTGAAATCTTAGATTTGAGGCAAAGAACTGGTAACAAATTGGATCTATGTAGCAGTTAGGGGTGTGTTATGAGTGGAGCTCTGTTGTGTTGGGCTGGTGCAAGTTCCAGTGTTATGGAAGTGTACCTTAGCTAGTACACACCACCACGAAGGAAGAATAGAGAGTTCACGTGTGTGCCAAGAAATGTGTGCGGCTGAGGGCAGAGGCCAGACTGGGGCAGCATTGCAGATGCAAGGTCCTGTGGTGGGCAGAGCCCTAGCTCGCAGGAAGGGTGTTGAGAGAGAACGATGTAAGCCAGGCCGATTCTGGAGTGCTGGCGGCTGGGGGAGAGCCAGGCAGGACCTCGTAGACATTGCTACACTCCTTCCCAGTCTCCCCAGACTTCAGTTTTGGCTGATGTCTGTGATTTTCGCTGTGATATAGGCAGAAGTCTTAAGGTCTGAAGAGGAAATTGACTGTCCCTTAACTCATGGACCTTGATGGGTCTTCTCGCCCTGGATGCAGGTGGGTTTTGTCTGGCTTTGTTCTACTTTTCTTTGGACAGTGATTCCCATGGTTTCTGTGCTTTCATACTTGTGTTGACTTGCTGCTGGGGTGTGTTTTACACTTAAAATTCCTGTGACACTTGAGCATCACAAAGTACACGAGTGTAGGGTGTTAGCTCAGTCACCGTAAAAGTCTGCGTTTTCTGGCTGCTGAAGACGGGGAGGCTTAAGGACCTCTGGTGGTAAACAGCTGCCAGCAGGAAGGCTGGAGGTTTGAACCCACAAGCTATGGTATGGGAGAAAGATGTGGCAGTGTGCTTTTATAAAGGTGACATTCTTGGAAACCTTATGGGGCAGTTCTGTGTCATGTAGGGTTGCTGTGCATTGGAATTCAGCACAACAGCAGTGGGATTTTGCAACGTTTTAGAAATTGGTGGCTTTAATTTACATCCATTTGAGTAATGCAGGAAGGTTTTGGTGGTGTCTGTTTAAAATCACTATTTTCCTTTTTATGCATTGAACTTTCGATTACTGTGAAACCTGCTTTGTGCTTTTTCTGGAAAGTTCTTGAAGTATGGTAACGGTTTTATTTCTTCTGGTTAGAAGTAAATAGATTCACTATAGACATTCTGTAAAAAATACAAAGGAAAAACTTAATCCCAATTCCTCAGTCATCACTGGTTGTAGCCATTTGGAATGTATCCTCTTTGGTGAGGTGGGAGGTGGTGGTGGGGAATACAAAGGGACGTCAAGAAGTTTTTAGATTATGGAATTGAAAAACGATGGAAGTTTTTCTACAAACTTTTGCAAGTCCCCTCATATTTATTGTGCTTTTCACCTGAGGAATGATTTACTATATGGTTAGAAGTTTTCTGTTTAAATATGGACAAATCCTTATTTTGAACAGTTTCACACCATGCTTTGGGTGAGCTTTCCATCCCTGCTGACTTTGGGGTCTGTAAGTTGGAGCAGATCAGTCCCCCTAGGGAGTGGTGCTGCTCACCTTTGGCATGGTGCCAGTTGGGTTTCCTTGAAGCCTGGGTGCATCTTCTTTGTCAACACCCACAGAAATCGAGGGAGCACAGCTTTCTACTGTATCCCATCATCGTACTCCAGTAAACTTTATTACTCTCAGAGAATTGCCATTAAAAAAAAAAAAAAACTTTAACAAAGATCAAGGCATAGTGATCTTGAATGAACTAAGCTTTTCCCATCACTTTCCACCTTGGGGTTTCACTTACAGATATGTTTTCTGACATAGGAGATTTCTACTCTTTTTCTGTTTGAAACAAATGAGGGGAAAACTTGTCTCTTTCATTGATGTTTGTTATAGTCTTCTCCCCCATCTATTTCGTAAGCAGTCTTACCCTGTGAGCCATGTTTCAAGACATTCTGTTTGGGGAGTTCTCTGGCTTCTGAGAAAGACTGACTGACAGGACGGCGGCCCAGCCTATCAATAAGTTGGTGGTTGTTGATAGTGGCCATCGTGTCTAGATTGGGATTCCTCGCGCAGAATAGAATTCCGTGGGGTCTTCAGGGCTGTGGCCTTTTGGAAGTAGAGTACCAGCTTTTGGTACCATCATAAATTTAGATTCAGAGAAAAGAGGTGTTTGCCTTAGGCACATCTCAGTCTCTGTGCAAGGCTACTCAGTCTTAATGGGCTGGAAGCTGCTCTCCGGGACAACGTTTTCTCTTCGTTTTCCTCTGAACTCTGTAAACCTAAACCCACTGCGGTCAGGTGAATCCTGCCTCATCGTCGGCCACATAGGACAGAGTAGAACTACTACATGGGATTTTCGAGGCTGGAGTCTTAATGGAAGCAGACAGCCTCATCTTTTTCCCTTAGAGTGGCTGGGGGGTTTGAACTGCCATTGTTTTGGTTAGCAGCCGGTGCTTAACCACTGTGCCACCAGGGCTCCTCTCTCCTTTTTGCTACCTTTTGCTTCTGTTTCCTCATCTCAATCTCAAAATTTTAGCTGGGTCCTTGGACTTATTTTCTTCGATGCTCCCTAGATGATTTCAGCAGGAATGACTTGGAATATCATTCATACTTCAACTCCAAGTATATCCCGGTCCAGGCTTGTATTTACTGCCTACCTAACAGCTCCACTTGGTCTCTACGGGCTTCTCAGAAATAATCAGAACCAAACACCTGGCTTCACCCCTGCCCCCACCTGGTCTTTGTCACCTGAGTAAGTGCTAACTCTGCTCTTCCAGGCGGAGGCGGTGGGAGCCCTTTCACACCTGTGTTGAGTCTGTCAGTAAATCGTTCCTACCAGCAAAAAGTTTCCAGAAAGCTCCTAGACCTTCACTTCCCACCATGGCGTTGCCCACGCAGCACCGGGACCACTCCCCGGGTGTATCGCAGCTCTCCCTTCACTGGCCTCCGCGCTCCTCATTTGCTTCCCAAGTTGTTAGTTGCTTTGTTGGATCCGCTATAAAATGTCCACTTACAAATGTCCTGGTGATACTGTGGTTAAAGCATTTGGCCGATAACCAGAAGGTTAGCAGTTTGAGCCCACCAACTGCTCCTTGGTGGAAAGATGTAGCAATTGATAGCCTTGGGAACCCTCTGTGCTGTAGGGTCCTGTGAGTCAGACCCGACTCAGTGGCTCTGCCATTAGACCATGCCATTGGTCAGTAACTGTCCGGGTCTCAGAAGAAGCTTGTCTCTCTGCCTCCCCCTTCCCACTCTGCTCCAGCCCTCTTGGCCTCTTGCTCTTTGTCACAGATACCAGCTGCGTGTCTTCCTCTTGACTTTGTACTGTCCCTCTGCCTTGTCTATGCGTCCCCCATTCTGTCTGCCGTTCCCTTGCTTTCTGAGCTCTCAGAAGGAGCCACCAGTCAGCTCTGCAGAAGGAAGATGGAGCTCGAGCTCTCTGTTGAGACCCTATACAGTTCTACTCTGTCCAGGAGGATTGCCCTAAGTCGGAAGTAAATCCACAGCAGTGGGTTTGGGTCTGGTTTCCACTGAAGCATAAGTAAGCCCAGAACGAGGAGACGTCAGGCGTGTCCTTTTTCTGCAGTCCATCCTTCCCGCTCCAAACCATTCCTTCGCCAATTGTAGCTACTTACAGTTCCGAGAGGGAGGGATGCCCTATATCATCAACTCTTGTCGTTGTTAGGTGCCATCGAGTCAGTACCGACTCATAGTGACCTTATGCACAACAGAACGAAACACTGTCCGGTCCTGGGCCAACCTCAGAATTGTTGCCATGCTTGAGCCCATCGATGCTGCCACTTGGCCAATCCATCTCATCGGGGGTCGTCCTCTTTTTCTCTGATCCTCCATCTTACCAAACATGAGATCCTTCTCCAGCGACTGTTCCCTCCTGACAATATGTCCGAAGTATGAGATATGAAGTCTGGCCATCCTGGCCTCCAAGGAGCACTCTGGCTACACTTCTTCCACAAGGGATCTGTTGGTTCTTTTGGTCCTGGCATAGTAAACCATGTGGTTGTCAGATTCAGAACGGCCAGTACCAGTCCATTTCGGCTCACTAATACCTATGATATCGATGTTTATGTGTTCCATTTAATTTTTGACCATTTCTAATTTCCTGGATTCATGCTTCATACATTCCATGTTCTGATTTTCTATGGCTATTTACAGCTGTTTCTCTTCATTTGAGTTATGCCCCATCAGCAAATGAAGTTCCCACGGGCTTTACTCCATTCACGTCATCACGGTCAACTCTAATTTGAGGAGGCAGCTCTTCCCCAGTTGCATTTTGAGTCCCTTCCAACCTGAGGGGCTCATTTTCCTGCACTGTCTCACCAACTCTTACAGTATCTCATCCTTGTTGCCATTAGAAAGGATTGGTTGGTCAGATGTTTCCAAGTGGATGGCCACTGATTTTATATTTGAATACCTTGAACATGGTTTAGACTAACAACAAGAGAAAGATGTGGCCTCCTTTACTCTCCTTGCACTTGGCCCTCTCTCTGCTGCCTGGTTGCTATGTCATTCTTCTTCTGTTCTATCACTGGAGGGTCCCTTACGTTTGTGGATGAAAGTAACAAAGATGCCTTCTCTTAAGTGTTGCTTGGAACAAAAGAAATACAGAACATCTTTATAGTTTACTCACAGTGTTCCTGAGACATGTAATTTAAGCAGATTCTAGAACGTAATGAATGAGCAGAGGTGCCGCTTGTTGTTAACTGGTAAGTAATGATGAGCATCTACTGCTCGCCAGTGCCAGTCACCATTGTAAGCATAAGCAACAAACAGGATCGAATGAGTCCCTGTCACATGTTTGCATATTCATTGAGTTCCAGGGCACAGTGGTCCTGAACAGAACATGGGACAGTTTGGGGAGCCAAGAGGGTATTTAAAGAGTGAAGAAATTTGGTACTCAGTTACTCTGAATGCTCTGTATCATGCTCAGGTATCTGTTCGCCATGCCTTGTCACCTGTTTGCACACCCATGTTGTTTTGTTTTCCTGCTCTCTTTCTCATAGGGGAGAACTTTGAACTCACCCTCAGAGCTATCTGAAGAGAGTGACTCGATGCACCTGGGTCAGGCTGCCTGTGGGTATGAAGTGGTTAGGAGACTCCAAGAACATGGTGGTGAATGGCAGGAGAAATGGAGGCAAGTTGTCTAACGACCATCAGCAGAATCCATCAAAACTGCAGCACGCGGGAAAGGAAGCTCTGAAGACTGGCAAAAATGCAGTTGAGCGGAGGTCAAGCAGATGTATGTACACACTCCGCCCTCAATGTTCTGATTGTGGTGCCAGCTAATAGTTCTTTTGCATTTGTAATGTTTTGTTTTCTGTGTGGTCAGAACACAGTTGTGGATATTCTCATAACCAACAATATAGTTTTTTTTATTCTCATTCACGTTCTAATGATTGTAATGCTCATCGAACATCATGTAAAACTTGTTTAATGCTTGGCATAATAATCTTAGTCATGCTTTTCTGTTTATAACTTTAAATTACATTTTATAGATTCCTAAAAGTATTGCTACTGAATTTCGTATATGGTTAAAGTGTAGTTTTTATGTTTATGTAAGAATAGCTTCCCTAAGTGTTTCTTGGAGTAATACAAATACCAAGGTGTCAACTCTTATTTCCATGGTAAGTAGAATGAGCGATAGCTAGCCCTGACTTGTTTAGGCTAACTTGATGATCTTGTTGCGGATTCTCTTGGCGTAGAAGCTTTTCTGATTCATAGCGACCCTATAGGACACGGCAAATCTGTCCCATCGCGTGTCCACATGCTGCATTCTTTACGGAAACACACTGCTCCACGGCTCTCCTGTGGGACAACGGAGTTCAAACTGTTGACCTTTTGGTTCGTAGATCCAGAGGATACAGTTGTTTATACTGACTGTGTGTGAAGCAGGGCTGACAGTAAGGTATTTCATTCCTTTTTACCTCTTGGTGAGAATAGGGCTACTTTTTGAGAGTCTGAGAAGTGATAGATTTGTTAACATTTTTCATAGTTCTAAGGATAGTAAGATGCCTGAGGAAGAGTGTAAATCTCAACAGGCAGCTATCTGAAAATTGACCCAAGTATGTGGTCATATTAAGGAAGATGATTTCAGTTTCTTGCTTTTTCCTAAGGTTAATCTAGCCATTATCGAGTGTCCTAATCGAGTGTCCTAAGTTTGTCTTGGAGTTGACCTATTCCCAGTGGATTGGCATCGTATGGGAGTTTTACATGGCAGATAGATTCCACCAGTTCTGATTTCATGTCCTTCCCCTTACACTTACGGGTGTATGCTGGTCATTGGGCCCAAGCTGCCCTTGATGAGCCACTCCCTGTCACTTGGGTTACTACTTCTGCAGGAGACCCAGCAGACAGTCCTGCTGGAAAGCTTCCTCTTCCCACCCCTGAGCGTACTGTTAGTGTGTTCCCTAACTTTTGAAGGCCTTGGAAAACGTCCTGACCAGGTCACTTAGACATCTCTTACATGTTTGGACAGAGGACTCCTGGCTTCTTGTGTCTCGAGTGCAGAAAGGGTTCCTTTGAAGGTGCGGTCTGCTTTCGTCACAGCCTGGCTTCTTGGGTGCAGAGGCATGAGGATTAAGACACTGGGCACAAGGAGGCTCCTCTTTTCACCGTGTACAGCTAGAGGTAGAGGAGAGAATTCACTGAGCATGAAGATAAACATCATTGCATTGAATGTGACTGGGCAGAAATGATGCAGAAACACTGTGAGTGAGGAAAACAATTGGAGTACAAAGCAGTGCTTTGCTTTAGAGAAAAGTAAACCTCTTCACCTAATACCATGGCTCCAACATATGTGAAACTGAACCAGACAGAACTGAAGAGAGAAATAGTCAATTCAACTTTAAAATTGAGAGTTCAAGACCCCCGTGTTCAATAATGGAACTAAGCAGCTAGCAACAAGGGAACCAAAAACTTGAACAACACTAATAGCTAACTAGACCCAACAGACATGCATAGAACGCCCCCTCCCAAACAGCAGCACACGATGTCTTCAGAGCATGTGGAACGTTCGCCAGGAAAAACTATGTGGTAAGCCACCAGAAAGCTTCAGTGATTCCATAAGGATTGAAGTCATTCCAGGTATCATCAGTGGCTGTAATGGAATGAATTAGAAATCAAATCACAGAAAAATTTGGGAAATTTGCAAATATGTGGACATTAAATGTGGTACTCCTAAATAACCATAGTGCCCATTCCAAAGGAAGGTGATCCAGCAGAATACAGAAATCATCAAATAATGTCATTAAAATTACATGCAAGTAAAATTTTGCCAGAGATAATTCAAAAATGGTTGCAACAGTGCAACGACAGAGAACTGCCAGAAATCCAGTTCACAAGGGGAAGTGGAACAAGGGGTATGGCTGCTGATGTCCGATGGATCTTGGCTGAAAGCAGAGACTACCAGAAGGATGTTTCCCTGTGCTTTATTGAGTAGTTAGACACATTAGACTGTATGGATCCTAACAAACTATGGATAACATTGTGAAGAGTGGATATTCCAGAACACTTGGTTATGCTCATGAGGAACCTATCCATAGACCAAAGAGACAGTCGTTAGGAGAGTACAAGGGGGTACTGAATGGTTTTAAGTCAAGGGAGAGGGGTGTGTCTGGGTTGTATCCTTTCACCATGCTTGTTCAACCTGTATTCTGAGCACATAATCTGAAAGACTGGATTATATGAAGAAGAATGTGGCATCGGGATTAGAGGACGTCTCATTAATAACCTGTGATATGCAGATGACAACAGCCTTGCTTATCGAAAGTGGTGCGGACTTAAAATACTACTGATGAAGATCAAAGATCACCACCTTCCGTATAGATTGCACCTCAAGATAAAGAAAAGCAAAGTCCTGACAACTAGAATAGTGATCAGCATCATGATAAATGGAGCGACAGGTGACATGGTCAGAGACTCCATTTTGCTTGGATCTACAATCAACACTCATAGAAATAGCAACCAAGAAATCAGAAGACATATTACATTAGGTAAATGTGTTGCATAAGACCTTTTTAAAGTGTTCAAGGACAAAGATGGCAATTTGAGGATGAAGGTGCCCCTGACCCCAGCCATGGTATTTTGAGTTGCTTCATATGCATGTGAAAGTTGGATTAATAAATAAGGTCTATTGTAGAAAAAGGAAATGGTTAATGTTCAACCATTTCAAGAGGTACCGTATAAACAAGAGCCAATGATACTCAGGGAGGAAGTCAAA